AGAGCCAAGTTTTGAATCCCCATTGTCAAATCATTTCTCAATGAAAAGAGGGTAACTTTTAACACCTTGCAGGCTGACTGTGGGAGATGACAAAGTAATTCATATGAAACACTTAGTATAGAGCGTGGAGCCTACTAAAGGATGTCTTAACAATGAGTAGTATTATACTTCTGTAGATATATCTGGAAGAAATGAGGAAAGCAGAGGCATGTCTCATCACCACCATGGTGGGGAGTAGACTTAGAGGGGGACCATGGCAATAGTCTGAAGCTGATGTGAACCTGAATGAGGGTAGTGACAGATGGAATGGCAAAGCAGGGAATGGATTCAACCAGTGCTAGAGAGGAAGAGTTGCATAATTGGGGAACAATTTAGTATGAGAAAGGGAGGAAATGATAAGAACACTGGCCGTTTGAATCTGACTGAAAGAAGGATTGTGTTCCATTAGGACAATGGATCTCAAACTTTTGCATGGTTGAGAATTTCCTGGAGAACCTGATTGTCTTGAAGCACAGGTTGCTGGAACACATCCCTCTCAGAAGTTTACAAGTGGTACTGATGCAGCTGGCTCAAGATCCCACTTTGAGAACTGCTGCAATGGAGAAATAGAAAACTTAGGAGGTGGAAGAGGTATAGTTCAAATGTAAGAAGCAATGGGCATAGCATTGGGCAGCTAATCCAGCCGAGGTGTGTGTTCCTCATGCCTTTAACACGGTGCCACATTGGCAGTTTCCATTTGAAGGTTAGCTCTTCACAGTGCCCTGCCCTTTGTAAATATCCAGTCTCAGAAAAGTGGTTAACATTTTGATTTTTAAATATCCAATTTTAAAATATTTTTAATGTATAGTACCTCATAGTAATCTTCCGTTCAGCCATCCCTAACAAATTTCAATATTGTCCAAGTTATATTCTTGAAGTAGTACTGTTTTTTGAAGAAAAAAAAGTGTGCGAAGTTTCAGCAAATCAAAGAAGGTCCTGGGTTTAACAGAAGTAAGCTGATTTCCTACTGGTAAATTAATCAGAACTTATAATATGCTAGGGTCAATGTGAGTCTCCAAGGTAATGGGAACTTCTGGGCAGCACTTTCAGAACCCACTTGACTTAGAATTCCTTTCTCCCTTGGGAAGACCAATTAACATCCATGGGTGTTCTCAGTACCATGAAAAAGGCAGTATTAGCTTTTCAATTTTTTTGACTTCGAATTTCCTTTAAACAAAGGAAATTTGTCAGTATAGAGGGATAGACTTTATGCCTAGTATTCCTACAATTAATTATGTATTTGATTACAGACTACCAAGTAAAAATAATAATGGTTTGTCAATGACTAAGTAAATTATGATAAATGGTCAGTATATATGATCAACTCTATAAGACTAGCTGGTGTATTTATGCCAAGAAGGCTAAGGACTCTGTAATTATGGCTATTTTGGTTTTAGTTCTGCTGAGATTAGAGATGATATTTTGGATGTTTTTGAGATTATCCTAGTAGTTTGGTTTTGGGTTTTGTTGGGTTTTTGGTGCTGAGGATTAAACTCAGAGCCCCATGCGTATCAGGTAAGCACTCTACCACCGAGTATATCACCAGCTCATTTTAAAAACAGTTCCCCTTGCCTGGATCAAGACCCTGGAAGATTTGGACATGATATATAATGTACTCATCTTTTGAATGTGGAAAACAGAGGTAAATGCCATAAGATGTCATGAGAGCAGGACATATCCTGTCCAATCTCCTGAATCTTAAAAAGGTAACATATTCTTTAGTGATATAAAACTCTCAATGTAATAAGGCAGAAAAGCAAATTTTATTTTTTATAATATTTTAAATCAATGGTTGAAGTAACAACACTTTCTTAACCACTGATTCCATCACATAATGACTATGTCAGTTTTCTTTGTTAAATATAACCAGTCCTCAGTACTTTTCTCCTAAAAATTTTTAATTTGTATTAGTAAAAATGTAAAAGCATATGAAACCAGAATTTCAGTGACTTCAATGACTAGAATGGTACTATATTTTCAAAAAGAGCCAATTAAATTTTTTAAAAAATCATTAGAAGAGGGCTGGGGTTATAGCTTGGTGGTAGAGCGCTTGCCTGACACATGTGAGTCACTGAGTTCAATCCTCAGCACCATATGAAAATAAATAAATAAAATAAAAGTATATAAAAAAATCATTAGAAGAGATAATATAGGTCATGTGAGAAGGAAACAAATTGAAAAATCCTGAGATTAAGAAAGTGTGTTTTTAAATGAACATAATTTCGGGGTGGGAATGAAGATCAGTCGTACAGCACTTGGCTACTTGTGAGAGGCCCTGGGTTATATCTCCAAAAAAGAAGAAAGAAAGGGAGGGAGGGAGGGAGGAAGGAAGGAAGGATGAGAATGATTTATTTGAGTATCAAATGAAAATAAATATTAAAGATTTTAAAAAGAGAGAAAAGCAAAAGCCTGGTGAGGCAGGAAGGCATGGAAAGACCAGCCTTAGACAAGAAGAGGACTCTCTCTCCACAAAGCCTGGAAGAAAACTGAGGATTAATGTGAATGGGGGGACAGAAAGTTGGAGCCGGCTGTTTTTCTTCGTTGTTGGCATCATAGTAGCAGTAACTGTTGTAGCTATTCCTAAATTAATGAATCAGTTAGACTAACTGAAGTAAATACGTGGTAGTGATGCAGATGAGCATCTGTAGCTGGATGGCTCTCATCTTAAGCATAATGAATTTTTGCACATTTGGAAAAATAATGGTCTTTGCCAGTTAGGAAAAAGAACATGGCTGACTAATATCAAGAATGTAAGAGGAAATATGATTACCAATCTTGCTGAAAATGAGGACAATTATTTAATGCAAAGTGACAGTGAGGAATATTGTAGACAACTTTGTGCTAACAAGTGGAGGGAGCCAGGAGCCAGGAGGATGTCACCTCTAGTCAAAGGACATGGGAATTCAGTTACCTAATTCTTAATGCTTCAGGAAACCAGAGGAAGGGGACAGTAAGTAGCCTTGTGCCTCGATGTACAGAATCCCTAGTATTTCTATTTCAAAGAAATACTGCAATCACCTATTTAAGGCCTCATTTAAGACAGAGGAAACTGGAAGTTTAGGAACGGTAAACCTTAATTAGAGGGGAAAACAAGGTGGAAAAATAGAGATTTCATTCTAAATGACCATGCAGGAAAAATGGATAAGGAAAAGCACCAGCTAGAAGTCTGAGAAATGGAAAAATCTCATCTTTGAAGGGTAGGAAGGTGGGGCGGGGTAAAAAAAAAGGACAGTGAGATAAACTCCAAACAGCACATGGAGAAATAATGAACTGAAGGAAATACTGAGAAATGTCCCCTGAATACAGCTCAGAGAAATCAAAATATGAAAAAGCCATATTGTACATTCAGTATTTCTACGTACTTTTATCCCTAAATGACACTAAGCATACGGAATAAAATATTTGTATTTTATTTTTTTGAAAGCAGGGCTAAACTAGAAACAAAGGAATTTAGAGAAATCAAAACTGAAAGGAGAGTAAGAATCCTCAGCTAAGTAAGCAGTAAACCTGGCTTTCACCCTAGAGACACCTGCCAAAGCTAGATAATCTTGAGCACGCCCTTGGCTGGTTATGTGCTATGTGTGTCTCAGGGCTACAAATGGTGGACAGTCTACTGAGATTCCTTACCCGAGGCTAAAACTTCACACAACTACATTAGTTTAAAGGTGATGAGAAACCATTTTCACTGAAGTTTAGAAAAAGCCTGGATTTCTGGCAGTAGGGAGAAATTTCCCTCTGAAAGTTTGATACCTGTGAACATAAATGACCAATAAACCTAAGAAAAGATGTTGGCAATCAGGAAATACAAAGTAAAGCATAAGCAAGTTAGACTGTAAACAAAGAAGGGCAGGGAGTTTTAAGCTTCCAAATGTAAGTTGAGGTCAGTGAGAATGAGAATGAGGAGAAATTGGAGCTCCGCTACATGGCTAGCTGAAGTATAAATTGGTACAAGACTTTGAAAAGTAATCTGACAACTATTATCAAGGAAAATTAAAGATGTGCATACATTTCAACCCTGTAATTCTATTTCTGGGTCTCTACTCTGGAGAAGTCTGGCTTATGTGCCCAAGATGGTTTATATAAGAATGTTTATTTTATAGAGTGCTTATAATTGCATAAGCAATTGGAAACAATCCAAAGGTTTATAAGAGCAGAACATAAATATATTGTTCTATGATCATAAAATGGAATACTTTTAAGCAATGCTAAAGCTACATTATTGATATAGGTAAATCTCAAAATCATATAGCAGTAAAGCAATCTGCAAATCTGTGAACAGTTTACCATTTACAAAAAAATGTGAATATAAAAAACAATGCTATATATCATGTGTGACTAAGTATATAGTAGTAATATTTAAAAAGTCATGAGTATAATAAACACCAAATTCAGAGTAATGATATTTTCTGGGGAGGGAAGAAGAGAGAAGATTAGGATTCAGGAGAGAACAACCAAGCCACCTCATTGTTTTTTAAAATTACATTGTAATATTGTATTTCTCAAGAAATCAGAAGCAAATATAGCAAAGTATTAAGATTTGCTAGAGGTGATTTGCTATTTGTTATTTCAGTTTCAGAAAAGTTCATTGTACTATTGTCTATACCTTTTCTGTATACTTGAAATATCTCATAATATTTAAAAACAGGGAGTGGGAGTAAGAGAAAAATTCTGTCTTTAATTTAAAAAAAAAGAACACAAGACAGCTTGGGTTCTCATTGAGATAAAATTTTGTGTGCACAAAATTTATCATGAATCAACACCTGTGGAGGAAAGGGGATGGAAAAGTAGGATTGGACAGGGAAGAATATCAAATACTCTCCAGGCTAGCAAAGCATTACCATGCCTACAGGAAACCCTGGGGCTACCTGAGACTAATCTTCTATTCTTACCTCAGTTAGTGCTGGAGGAAGGATATTCCCTTGGGGAAAGGGGATTCTTTGCATTCCTGAAGGAGCCAACTGCCTCAGGCCAAGTATTGGCAACTGGGGCAGCAAGTCCTTGGAGCTCCTTGGGTGGGTCTGTCATGAAAGTGAAGTTTTGTTTTCTTTTTTCCCTTCACTCTCAAATAATATTTATCATTATATTAACCTGAGAGATATGTCGTAAATACAAAGGAGAGTTTCATAGCACATATGAGTAGATTATAATCCTATAGCATATTAATAGCCTTGACACTTCTTTGTAAGAATGTGGTCTGAAGAAAATGTCATATACTAAATCATTAGCAAGCAATTTTAACATTAATTTCCTTGCTTTTCTCAGAAGAGAACAAATATAAGATACCCCTATAATTTAGATGCCCCGTTTTAGATACTGATTTCAGAATTAGCTGTCACAGTCTATGTTTAGAGGGTAAAATATAAAAATTTAAAATTTATAGATGATATCTCTGCATAATCATCTTAATGAGTGTTATTTTGGAAATCGTTAAATGTGTTTTTATGTGACTATGTAATGCTGTCTTCCTCATCAGTCAAAGAAACCAGTAGAGACAGAATTGTCAAATATTTATATCCTACTCATTCATCTTGGTGCCAATCACACATGGGTGTTCAGCTTATATTCTGTAGGGACAGCAGTCATCATTTTACATCAAAGCCCACAAATATAATGTGAAGTTTAACGTAAATATTCACAGGTTTAGGTAGTATTTCCATGCCTAAGAGCTTCCTGATAGTCTGCTTTTGGCACTTCAGTGAAGTCCTACTTGTGACAAGTGTGGACATACAGTAAGTAAGGACATAGTGATATTCATTTTGAAGGGCTCTATGAGGGATACATTGTGAACTTTACTCAGTTGATAAGAATGTCAAAGGAATTGCTCATTTTAAATAGAAAATGCAGCATGAGTACAGAGGCTTGCCTAGCAACTCATTAGGTGTAAACAGTTTCTATAGGTGTCATTCAAGGTTCCTATTTGCAAGAAATAGAGGTGGACATGGCTAATTAAGGATAAAAGGGGAAAAAAGGAAAAAAAAAAGTGGTTATTAGTAAATTCCAACACTTCTATTGGAGAACAAGGCTTGAGATTTAACTTCCAGGAACAGTAACCAAATCTGTGCCACAAATTTGGTCAGATAAGGAAAGAACTGATAACTTCCACTACCTTTGGAAGTGATTTCTGTGTAAGGAACTTGACCTTGAGATCTAATATAGGGAATGCTGCAAGAGGCAGAACAGAGAAAAGGAGCTTCCTGTTTTCTGGAATCAGTCTCTGAGCTGACATCTGAGTCACAGTCTGGCATGAGTGTATCTTCTAGACAGAGCCAAAGTTACTTATCTCTGCTTCAGAGGAAAAGGATTATGGGAAACTGTGTCCCACCTCTGCCTTCAAGCAGAAATTCTCCCAACCATTTCCTTAAATGGTTGTTGAAAAGATTAGCATAAGCAGCCACAAACATGATTTTATAACATCTACTACAATTGAATTGTTTTTTTCCTATGTTCTTATTTGAAATATACCTTCATCCTACCCTGGTATGGTAACTTCTGGCTATCCCAAAATGATGTAACATGCCCACCCTCAGTCCTAGAATACAGAGTAACCAGGGTACAAAGATAATGTGATAGCTTAAGGAGGATTTACACACAGTCCTTCTTGGCCCAGTATGATACAAGCAGCCACTCTTGTGGGAAAAGATGTACATAATAAGTAATTGAATAAAATAAATGAAAGAATGGAAATGTATCACAAAAACTATGCTATTTAAGAGCAAAGAAATTATTTCAGGTAAGCATGATACTACTAGGTTACTGACTATTGTACAGTTTATAGCCATATGTTCTTTTGTTGTTTAGCATTTATTAACAGCCAGCAGTCTAGGTATTGTTAGGCAGAGGCAGGCATTGTCCCACTTATCTATTATGATCATATTATATAGCAGTATTGAGCTAAATACTACTCATCTATATCCTTTCTAAAATGCCTCCACTATTGGGTTCATTAGAAAAGGATTTTCAATAGCAGATAAGGAGTTCAGGGACTGTTTATTAAAACTCATTCTAAGAATAGCTTGTGGAATTTACAAAGCCAATGCTATCAAGTAATTGCACATGTGCCTAATACCACAAAGAGTCAATAAAGTCAATTAAATTTTTATGCAAACATTCATATCTAGTCATAAATAATATTTTAGGTAGTTTTATTTCTGATTGGTTTTTAGGTTTATTTGAGTGTTCACCTACCTGGTATTTTGCTCTAGCAATCATTGTCAAATTTGAACCACTTAACAATTTGTTTTGAATAGCTTGTAAAGCATTAATTGGCACAGGGGTTCTTGAGGTATTCTTCAAGATGCTATTTGTGGCTTAAAGCCTTTGAAATATATTTGATTTGATCTTTGGGTGTTTTATAGCATAACATGCTTTCTATTTATTAAAATCCCATCGAACTAACAATAAGAAAAGGACAAAGTTAAAACACTTTCTCTTATAATAGAACTCGTTCACCTTCATGATGTAGCATAGATTGAAGAATATAATTTCTTTTGACAAATTTTCTAGCTTCTTAGTACAATTTTGAATTCTACGTTATAGCCCAGTCTTTTTCACTTTTCTGTCTCACCTCTCTCCTTTCACACAATGGCACATGAATGCATTTGTGAAAGTAGCAAAATTCTCTTGGTTATGTCGTAGATAAATATAGCAAGATTTTTTCTGTGGGATTGAAAGGATATTTTTCCTTAGTTAAATGGCTTTGTATCAAACATGGTAAAGTGATTCTCTTCCTGGAGATTTACATTTTTTTTTTAATGCTGTGCTGACATACAGTACAGTATAAGGGATATAAAAATTAGCCATTGAAGATGAAGAGCTTTTATTGGTTGGTGTGCCTCTGATGTAAACACTTCAAGTAAGGTCTCTGCAAACATTAAATTTAATATGGCACTGCAGCAGAAAATATTGTTTTAAAGATCTGATTAGAACCACAAACAAAAAAGGCAAATAAAAATATACGTTTCCAACATCAAATAAAAGCTGCAACTCTATTGCCTTTAAATTTAAAATAACCACAAATCATTAGATTATTTAAACCATCCAAAGCTTGCACTTCAAAGAGCCACACTACAGCTTTATGTTATGGGTACGTTCCTGTGTTTCCTGTGACATACGCCAATTCATGTATCTGCCTGAGCAGCCAACCTCATCACCTTATATGCCTTTTATTTCCTTGACTCACAGGAGCTTCAGTTTCAACGACTCACCCGAGAACTGGAAGTGGAAAGGCAGATTGTTGCCAGTCAACTAGAAAGATGTAGGCTTGGAGCAGAATCACCGAGCATCGCCAGCACCAGGTACAGGGCCAAGGGCTCTATCTTTGTGTATTCTCAAGTGACATGTCTTACTAAGTTGCCCTGCATGCAGTAGATGATTCTGTTAGCGATGTCCCGGTTAACTTGCCTTCCTAAATTTGACACAAAAGTTGTCAATACATTTTAATTTTGAGAATCCTCTTGTAATATTGATTACCCTTCAGCCCCATGCTTAAAGTGCTATGTATAGCATTGGTAAGCTTCTGTAGCAAAAGAAACTATGCTTCCTTCAGAAATTTGATTTCTCCTCTATAACTACAGTTGATGGGTGTTACTTGGTTAATTGCTAGCTATATGGTAAGCTAATTGACTGGTATTTTGAAAACCTGGTATGGATTTTTTTAAACTGAGAAATATTTCTAAAAATTAAGATTTAGTCAACTTTTAAAAATGCCTTTAAATTGAGTTTTTCTGGAACTCTGTAAAATTACTATATGAAATGATTCTGTATATTCAGATATACTAAATACAAAATAAATATATACTTGAACATTTAATCATGATTATTATTTTTGTATAAATGACCTCTTCTGCTATCTAAGAACATCATTATTATAAAAATAAATACCATATACTCCAAATGGGTTAAATCGCTGCTTATCTATAGATTTCTTTCTTAGTTACATATTCCTAGAAAGCCTACTATGAAATACTTCATTACTTGTGTTTTTGAGCTTGGTATGTTTATACTTAGGTGGGTATGCCTATAATAACTTGTCTCTCAGTTATTTTTAGTCACATAATGGTTCTACTTCTCAGCATCTCCTGTTAGTCATAGACAATTCTCTTTTTGCTGAATAGAATGTGGTCTATAGTTTCACTTTTCCAGTGATTGTTGGTATGAATTTTAGACATAAGGCTGATAAATTATATTCACATGAATTTTTCATCTCAGAGCGTACAAGTAAAGTCAATAAAAACCTTTAGAAATAAATATAAAATTATGATCTTTTTTTAAAATTCAGGTATGTTTTTATAGTAAAAAAATCATAAGCAAGGTGTAAAATTTCAAATTATAGATTTCTAATTCTACCTTTATAATATCCAGTTAAATAATTTATCAAGGAAGTAAAAATTGTCAAAACAAATTAGTTTTGACTCTATTCAATATTTTTAAAAAGTTATCTATATATTGAGCACCCAAAAGGGAAATTCACAAACTCAATAATATTCCCCAAAAATATAGACCAATTTTGTTTAGAAAAATAGAATTTTATATTCATGGAAAAAATAAATAACATTTGAAGAATGCAGTATGGCTCGGTAAACAAACAGAGTTTCTCTTGCTATACCAATTTAAAAAAAAATACTTAAGGAAATGGCAAAAGAGAAGGGAACTCTCTAAATACTAAAAGTAGAAAGGGAACCGAAAACCAGAACCAGAAGTATTTGAGCCACCTTTGCAGGAAGCCTGAGAACACTGCTTATACCTCCAAATGAGTCCTCAAATTGGTTTTAACATCCATACAGGGCCCAAGGAGTAAGGTTTAAGGTGTGTTCAGGATGGCCCCTTTGAATTTAAGATTGCTGCATTTAGCCAGGACCTTTAAAGGACCACACTCTTGGCAAACCCAAACTCATACAATATGTGGATTTGGGGTCCAGTTATAACTGTCCCCATCTGAGAAACTAACACCACTAAAGTTGAGCTCACAATCAGATGTTATAAAACACAAATCAATAAAACCCTAGGCTGACATCAGCACTATGACAGAATTGGACTTCCCAATATATCTTCTCTGACAGAAGCATTCATTTGAATAACTATCCACACATGAAAATAACTGCATAAAAGTTAAGGAATCCAGGTGAGGGATTACAGCCCTTGAGTATGCACAGAAGTAAGAAAAGATGAAGAGGGTAGGAAGGACAATTTTGCACTGTGCTTTGTTCATTACATACTTTTGGACTAATTCTAATCTTGTAAAAGATTGTATTAAAATACTTCTCTTCAAAAAAAAAAGATATATATATATCTTGGCAAAGAGTAAGAATCCATAGAAGAGAGAGTGTGATTTCAAACTCCAAAACCTAGACACTGGTATAGAAATTCTGAAAGATGTGTAGAATAAGATATATACAAAGAATGTTCAATGCAGCTTTATTTCCTAAAGTAAAAATATCACAAAGAACATTATTGTCCATCAGGATGAAAATGGGAAACAAACTGTGGATAAGTAAACTCTACAACAATTAAAATGAAATAACTGGATTTGTACGTAGCACCATGGGGATGTTTTTAAAACAAACTTCTGATTGAAAATTGCAAGTTGCAGAAGAGGAGAAATAGGAGAATATCATCTGAACATTTTTAAAACAGTTTTATAATTATTCAACAATACTTGGAATCATTTATAAGTGAATTCATGTGGAATAAAACCACTAAAAACATTTTGGATTGATACCAATTTAAGAGAGTAGTGATGTCTGTAGGAAGGGGGAAGATATCAGGAATTAGGCTTTGGCTCAAGCTGTAAAGTTTTATTTAACAGAGCCATCTGGAGCAAAAATGAAAAAAAAAAAAAAGATGTTAACATCTGTTAAATGGGGGGGTGAGGGGTATAGATTATAGATGCCTGGCTATTAGATTATCTCCTGTGCTTTTCTTTAAGCTTTAAAATAAGTTAATGGTTATATAGTTCAATTAACTAATTCCATAGATTGATAAAAATTTATAAAATACATGTTGTGGGCAATAGTTACTGTCATTGGTATTGTGTGCTTTGTATCTGGTTCCTAGTGCCTATTGTCATATCTGGGATGTTGCTGAGACTTACTTAGTCAGTGAATTTTGGACAAATTAATGGGTCCTGTAGAAATGAGAACAGGGTTACAAGACAGGTTGTTCTGGAGCATGAAGAAGCTCAGTCATGTTTAGGATATGTACTGAAAGGACCTAGTAGCTTATGAGGTTGGAAAGGTAAAGCTGTACTATTTGATTATGGAGATCTTCATCGGGTCTTTAAAGGATATCTACAGAAAGTTGTTAGTAGTGATTGTCGATTTATTTGAAGGAAGTTTTTCTTTCTTGACTGTGCTGTGTGCAAAACATAATGAAGAGAGGCCAGACAGCCAAATAGGAACCTATTATGGAATCTTAAGAGTTATGAGTAGTTTTTCTCTTTTAGAGAACTCTAGTTGTAAAGGTAATTGAACCATGAGTTACCCTACTCCCATGTCATGTGATTCCCATGTGTTCTTATATCCCAGCTAAATGCCAACACTTCCTAATAGCCTTGCCCCAAGTTCCCCTAGGAAAATCATCTCTTTCATCTGAATGCCTGTGTCTCTATGCCATAGCTCATCTATGAGATGGTGAGAGCCACCCCACCCCCACAATCCTGGCACAGTGCCTAGAGCTTAGTGGGCATTCAGCCAAAAGATTAGTGGATGGATGGTGAGCCGAAATGAAGTCCAGAGGTTTTGAGCTCATCAGAGGATGCTTTTCCTTTAGGTTGTCCCCTTGGTGTCTTTAAATTTCTACCTACCCTTTCTCATATCTGCCCTTTTCATACCTTTCAGGGTGCTTTCCAGAGGACCTTTAGAAGACTACTGACATAGTTATTCTGCTCTGTGATCACCAGGTCTATACGCTGGCAAGGAGCCCATAAGAAAATAGTGTGGTAGTAGAGGGAGCAAAGGCATTTTACTGTGTCACTTGAGACACACCCCTTTGGGTCTTCCAGCTCCACTAACTGTTCTCTTGGAACCAGAACCAAGAATGTAAATAGAAATTATCTCTCACACTCAGACCCTCTTTCCATCAGCTATTTCTGTTTTGCCCAAAATACAAATGAAATTGCTGCTTATGTCCATGAAGCTTACTATTGGACATTATCCATTTTTTTTATTTTTTTAATTGTTTCAATCAGTTATACATGATAGTAGAATGCACTTTGATACATCCTATATAATGGAGCATAATTTCTCATTCTTCTGGTTATACATGATATAGGATCCCATTGGTGGGCTAAGGCATTTGTTCTGAACATACTAAATATACTGTGGTTATATATATATATTCCACCTCACTTGTATATTGGGAATACCTTTTAAAATGTAAAAAATAAAAATAAAATGCAGAAATTAAGGGAAAAAGAAGATAAAGTTAAAAAAAAATAAGATGCATCAAGGTTAAAATAGTACCAAAAGAATGTATATTGTAACATGCCATGCATTTGTTTACGTAGGTAGTCACTTTTTTCCTGAGTATCCTAGTAGCCATGCTAGAGAGAGAAAGTGCTAATGAACTCTACAATTTAACTGTCTCTGAGTTGTTCAGGAGGTTCTCTCATTCCTGGGACCAAGACTTGAATTGTTTTCCCAGTGTGTCCCCATTAAGAAATCACTGTTTGATGAAGTAAACAGTGTCCTAGGTGGTCTCTTTCCAATAAATTACAAAAATAGGTCCAGAGGGCTTTTTCTCATTGCTAAATAGAATATAAAGGTATGGAATACCACCTTAGCTTAAAGTAATTCTCCAGTAGGCCAATCTGAAATCTATCTTAGCTCAGGATGATGCTCAGCATATGTAGATGAATGGATCAATTTCAGGTCTGCTAAGCAGGCAGACTACCATGATAGTTCCTATCTGCAGAGCCCTTGAGAGTCCTGGATTGTATTGTGCACTGAGATGTGAGGTGTCCTATATTGCAGGTCACTGTGCAGGTATATGGTATATGCACTATAGCAACACAAATAACTTCAGCTTAGGCTCCTTAAAGGAAAATATGCCCTTTAAACCTTATGTTTCCCATGGACTAGGCAGCAGTCTTCAAATTCAATGTTTGATGCACATGGGATTTTTTCTTTTTCACCATGCAATATCATCATTTGGATATTGTTCTCACACTAATTGGGTTTAGATTTAAGTGGGTGGAATAACAGTAAAAGGACCCAGTAACACAATGAAAGACCACCTGGACCCTGTGCCCCTCTTCTCACCCTGTAACTTCCTTTGCCCTTCTCTGGTCCCAAGGTCA